TTTATATTATGTATATTTACCATGATAAAAACAAATGCAATGAAAAAGTTCGTCCAGGTATATACTTAGTATTGTCGTTTTACCTACATGTGCTATTCTTAGAAAAAAAATGGTTGATTTTTAAAATGTACATTATTCAATTTTATAGTTGTATTTGTTTAGAGAATTTTCAGAAAGATATGTGTATGGGGGGAGTCCTTCCTCTTACATTTTTGAGTCATGCAGGCCCTCTAAAAAGTTGGGCTATGTCAGCCAGGTCCACTAGTGGACCATCAGGAGGGCTGGGGAAGGGAGCAGTTCATGGATCAAGCTCAAGGACGTTCCAAAGAAACTGAAAATTAGCTGTTCATGAGTCATCAACACAAGTTACCCTCTCATAAAGTATATATTTCATAGGCAAATGGCATTATTTTTGCAGAAGTTATACATTATGCTGGCAATACATCAAGGAGCACATGTGGGAACTATTGCCACAAGACACATATAGGAGCAGCTGTGTGTGCTTGTCTGACATGATTTCTGGCAATGAAAAAACTAAAGAGAAAACATACTGCCATTTGCACATAATAGTATATAACTGTCCCTTGGTATCTAGGGGAGATTGTTTCCAGCTCTCCCCCGTCCCCAGATATGCAAATCTGCAGATACTCAAGTCCCTTGTATAATGGCACAGTATTTGCCTATAAGCTACACAGTGCTCCTATGTACTTTAAATCATCTTTAGACTACTTTTAATACCTAACACAATGCCCACACATCACTTCATTCATATGGATTCTGCACAGCATTCAGTACATGGCAAACTGAGGTTTTGCTTTTGGAAACTTTCCAGAATAAAAAAGTACTTTAAATCCATGGTTGGTCGAATCTGTGAAAACTGAACTCACAGATAAAGAGGGCCAACTACAATTAAATATAATTCTAAAGGTGTCCCAAGTGAAGGAATCAAAAACCTAGGATGAAAAGAGCTGATCAGCTGTGGTCTTACCTACATCCTCATTGTCTGCTAAATGCATGGTTGCTCAAACATCCTTATTTTCCAAACACAATTTTCCTGGTAAAATTGTTTTTATCAAGGGAAGTGTGAAATATTCTTTAAAACTCTGGATAGATATCTAAACTGTCACTGTTGTGCTTTATCATCCTCCAGCAAGTGGCTATTCTGCAAAGGTAGTCCTGGAGCCTAGAGACTTCTCTGACAGTGTATGGGAAACCAGAACACACAGGTTGTCTTCCCCACTGAGCACACACCACACTCAAGGACAGGAGTGCATCCACAGAATTACTAGGCTGAGAAGTTTCTGAAGACTTGCTTCAATTTCCACAAGGCTGAAGCCTAGGAAGATTTGTTGGGTACCTACAGCTGCTGCTGTACCCCGGTGGTATCTGCTTGGCTTKTCCCTTCCTAGCCCACAACTGCTGGTCTTGCTGGTTCTATGGCCCTAGAGCCAGGTGGGCTTCAGCCACTTCATCTGAGGCTGCAAATGGTCCACCAGGGTGTGACTGCCACACAGACTGACCACAGCGGTGATTGCAAGCTGCTCTTAGGGGTGGGAAGGATCCCTCCTAAGACTCCTAAACTATAAGATGAAGAAAGCAATGATGCTCTTGCAACTGCAGGTGCTAATGTGAATCACCTATGAGTCTACCCCCCACCCCCAGCACTCTATTAGCTAACGGGGAAGAGCATGTATAGCTGCCAGAAAACAGTGTGCCTGAAGGTGAATGTTCTGCTTCTTTTGAGTTCCTCCAGGTGGATGATGGGATGGGATCCCCCCATTTCTCTGCCCCCAACTGGCTCTGTTATGGAAGATCTGTTTGTTGCCTGTCTATTTCAGTACAATGAACATACCAGCCTAGGAGTCCAGCAACAAGGGCTTCCTTTTTTTCACACTGCCTGCCAAGGAAGGAGGATTCCAACTCATGAGTTTTACTAATAAGATGTAAAAAAAACTTATCACCCCATTTCAAAAGCAAATAAATAAGTAATAAAGATGCTCAAAGCAAAATGTTCTGGTGTTGGAGATCCTCACCAAACAAAGGCAGAACGAGCAAAGCTGTCCATAAACTAAGCTATATCTCTGCTCTGCTTCCCTGTCTCAGGAGTTAGGTGCTCAATGTGAAGATGCCAGCTGCCAAAGCAGTCAAGCAACGCTCGTAGTGGGGTGACTGTTCTCTACCAAATTTCTTCCTGGAGCCTTTGTTTCTTCTAGGAAGCCCAGCTGCAGTCATTTCACGCATCCTACTTTTAGATCAAGAAGCCAGAGAATGAGAAAGACAATGCTACCTAGCTCAGAGGCCCCTGAACCCCCATCCCAGAGCCCTCGAGAGGCAAGTTGCTTTCTTAGAGTTGTCCAATAAGCTTGGAAACAAACCCAGACTTCTTGATTCTGCGGCTCATTTATCTCAAGCACCAAATGGCCAATTACTAAATGGTTCCACAGGGATTTCTGACAGCACTTATAGAGGAAGTGAGTGCTCAGGTGAAGCCCAAGTCAAGGCCAAGTCTTTAAGAAGCCTCTGATATTCCATGAGCAGGTCTTCCTAAAAAGGAACAGAAGGGCTGCTGCCCAGAATCGAGAGGTGGGTCCGTCAGATGCAGGCTTCCCTGGTGGCAGCTGTGCCATCTGGACGACTCCTCTGATTTCAAGTTTCATTAGTGTAAAATGAATTTAATAATACCCCCCTCACTCTTTAGTGGGAAGTTGCAAGAATCAAACAACAATTTGATAAGAGGGTGATTTGAAAGAAATAATGTACAATAGGAATTTAACAAATTATATGAATCAGAGGAACTCAGAGCAACCACAAAAAGAAATTTTGGGGTAAAATTTTTCATCTAGACTTGGTAACAGTGCTGGATGCCAAAAAATTTTCACACATTTTCTTAGATATAATAATGGCACCACAGACATTTAATGTCTTTAGAGATCACACTGAATTATGTAGGGATGAAATGTCACGATGTCGGGTATTTGCTTTAAAATACATCAATGGAAAAAAGGAGGAAGAGCACAGATTTATGTGCAGCAAATGCTGATAACAGCTGAAGCTCACCAAGATATATATGGGGGTTCCATTCTACCCTCCTCTCTACTTGAGTGCATATTTGAAATTTTTCAGATTCAAAAAGCATTTAAATAAACAATGCAGAATTTTCTGGGACATTAGTCAGCTTTCTGATTGTCACGTCCAGAGCACAGAAAATCTGTTTCCTCCACAAGGCCCTTTCAAACTGGTCATCCAGAGGTCAGAGGGCAAGGACTTGGGAAGAGGCCAGGAGAGGCCAGGCAAGGAGCCCAGCTGCAAAGGAGATAAAAGGAAGTATCCTCCTAGGATCTCCTGTCTGGGAAGCATCAAAATGTCAGGCAACATGTAAGGGTAAGTGCATGCCTTGCCTTGGACCTGAGTTTCATATTTATCTTTTGCCACCAAGACACTGTTTAGCACAGTCACAGAGGACAAGCAAACACACACACACACACACACACACACACACACACACACACACACACCACTGAGATCCAACCCCCTGGGGGACAGCTACCTGGGACCCACAGGATGCATGCATTTTTGCCATGGGTTTGATGGACATCTCAGGGGCTAAGGTCTAGGAAGGGGAAAGGACAAAGGCAGGCAAGGAGATTAAAATTTTATCCAAGGCAGGGTCTGGTGAGTCAGGCATTTATCTGGGAACTGACCAGAGCAATGAACTCTTATCTTCCATCCTAAGCCCCCTCCCTGGCCATTAAGAATTAGATACCAGAAATAACCTAATGGATTTCCCCGAAGACCACAAAAGGGCTTTGGGTGCTCTAAGACAGACAGGGCAGCAGTGGTGTAAGGGAGCGCCCTGGAAAAAGGGTTGTGGGTTTGAGTTCCCACGCTGACTAACCCAGTGGCCTTCAGCTTCGGTACTTTTCCTTCTCTGCAAAAAGTAATGGTTGGGCTGATTTTACCTCCTCAGCTGCAAGATTTGGGGGCATGTTTCTGGCTGTCATGCATCTCCCCTCTCATCACGACTTAAAGTTTCCTAAGCATATTGAGTAGCTCCCCCACCCAACCCCGCCCGGTGTTATGCTGCTTGCCCCTCGCCTTGCACTCCTCCACCGCGACACCTCCGGCAGGGAGCTACACCCGAGCGCTGGCAGATTTTGACCAAGAAGGAGAGGCAGGGTGGGCAAGGCGCCTGCGTGAAAGTTGTGGGCATAGGGGACCGCGGGACTAATCACTTCAGATTGGGGTTCGCTCTACCCCGGGGAGATCTTGCACGCACCACCGTGGCTCGATGTTTCCTCGGTGATAAAGCGGGAGAGGTTCCGGGTCCCCAGACGAGCCAGGGAGAGAGACTTCGAAGTGGGGACCGCGCGTCTCCAACGGCAGGGCTCGGGTTGCTCTGGCGCTCAGCCTTCCCGATCGCGGGGAAGAAAACCCAATTCCACGCGGTGCGCTCTGGGGCGCAGCCCCAGTGGTCCCCACCCCCACGCCATCTCGTCGCTGCGCGCTCACATGCCCAAAGCCACAGCTCGGGGGAACTCCTGCGTGGCCCTGCCCTCCCACCCCTGAGAGCGCTCCACATCTCAAAAGCCAAAACTCCGGTCACGGTCGCCGTCCCCACGTCGCTGTCCCCACGCCGCACCCTCCAAGGCACCCAGCGCGCAACGAGGCTCCACGGGCTGCGCCCTGCCGGGCCACAGGAGCTCCAGACTAGCAGGGAGCCGAGCTCCGGGGCGCGCCAGCCGCAGCGCCTCCCCCGACCCGGGCGAGGTGGGGTTGGCTGGGCGGGGCCCCGGCGTCGGAGGGGACTCGCCAGCCTGCACGTCCTCGCGCGCTCCCCGCAAGGAGCCTTTGCTCAGCGGGTGCCCACCGCTCAGGTCCCGGGAATCCGCACTTGGGCGGAGGGGCGGCCCGGTGGGGAGCCGAGCCTGGAGACCCCCGGGGACGCCCCAGCTTTTCCTCGAACCGCCGTGGGAAGGGTGTCGCGGGACGCGCGCTCTTACTTGGCAGCAGGGGTCCGCTGTGGCCGGGCCGGGACTGGGCTCTCCACGGTGGCCCCTCTCCGCTCCCGTCGCCGCAGCTGCAGGCAGAGTTCTCGGCCGTTCGGAAAAGCGAAGGCGAGCTCCAGCCCAGGGAGCCGCGCGCCGGAGTCGCGGCTCCGCTCTTTCCCCCGAACTTTTAAGCCAAATCGGGCGGCAAACCCCTCCCTGGACCCACCCCCTTGGCCGACTACGGTCACAGCCACAGGCCGGGCCTCCAGCCCCCTTTGTTGTAATTCGAGAGCGGCCACTCCCGGGCCAGAGGGGGCTCTGCGGGGGAGGCTGCGCGCCAGCCAGCGGGGCAGCCCTTCCCAGGCTCTTCGCGCCCAGGTTTCCGGAGTCGGAGGAGCGGGCGGGAAAAGGGTGCACTTTTTCTGCAGGGGAGACTCCCAATCCCGACCCCACAGCGCTCCGGAATTTAACCCTTCGATGTCCTCATTTACCAGTAGCATTAGGGCTAATCCAGCTCCATATCCAAAACCCTACCCCTCCCTGGCACTTAGTAGACGCTCAATAAAAAGTAAGACATGAAAGTGATCACAGATTTTCATCTATCTCTCTTGGGTTTCACTTCCCTTCACCTGTAGGTGGAAACAGATTCCCAACATGAAAACAAACAGCCCCCTTTCTGCCAGCAGATCTGTGTCTTGGCCTAGTCTCTCTTCCCCCAGGACCAGTCTTCTCCTTTGCAAATTAAAGGCTTCGGAACCTGTGACCTCTAAGTCTCCCCCCGCCACACACACACACACACACATCCCCACTGCTGCACCAGGCCCCAGATTAACAAGCCCTGCACTCCAGAAATTGAAGGAGACATAGCTAGGGGGTGGACCTGGTGCAGAAGGACAGAACATGTCTGGCTCTGAGGTTTGCAGTGGGTCTGGGTCCTAAGGCCAGGGAAAGCCCTCTGTACAGATTGCCCTTCCTGTAAGAGCAAGGCTTTGTCGGTGGAAGCAGCCAGTTCTAAAACAAAGGACCAGCTGGGAGTCCTCTGTAAGAAGGGAACTGTCAGCTCCTCTAGGACAGACACTGACTTTAGGGCGCAATCCTCTCGGGGCTCCTCCTCAGTCCTGTCCTCTTCCCTGTGCCCTAGGCAGAGCTCCACACCAGCTGTGACAGGTGTGAGTACCAGGTTTCCCCTCCCACCCAGGCTTCTCTCCTCAGTCATGGGATTGCAAATCCATCCACCTCTTAACACCAGGACATTTCCTCCTTGGCCTCTGGACATTCCCATAACCATGGCCAACTCCAAACTTGGCACCCCAACTCAAGCCCACTCCATCCCCTGAGAGATCTCAGAGGCAAAAATGGGGTCTTCTCAGGCCCCTTGAGATTTGAATTAGCCAGGGGTCTCACAGACAGAGGACCAGTAGGAGAGCGGGGTGTGATCATAAGAAGCCAAGGGGAGGTGTGTTTGTGGTGTAGGAACAGTTCAGTATCTCAAGTGTGGCAAGAAACTATGGTAGAATTATGTAGAACTTACTACACCCAATACAATTTCAGTTGAAAATTAAAAAACAAAACAACAACAACAAAATACACAGTGGCTCCAGGGCCCTCAGAATGCAATCCAAACCCGTTGGTGCAGCTGACAAAGTGACTTGGTCATTTCCAACATACCTGTCTCTCAACCGTACACTCCTCACTGCCGTTGGCCTTCCTTGCTGTCCTCTAGTGCCTGCTGTTTCATCCCCAGGACCTTTGACCATACCATTGCTTTGTTGGTTGTCTGCCTAGCAACACCTAGTTCTTTGAGATGACACTCAACTATCACTGTCAACATTTTGTACAGTGCCTGCACACAGCAAATGCTCAATAAATGCTGGTGGAACTGAACTCTCTCCTCTTCCCTCTCCCTTTTCTCCCATCCCTCCACAGCCAGTCCAAACCCTCTTGCTAAAGCATTAACTAATAAGTTATAAAATGAAAGGAAACCAACTTTGAAAACTGTTTTGTCTAGTTCTGACAAAAAGCAAGCTTCTTGTGAAATAATCAGACCATATGAAATTGTAGGGATTTCTGGATCCTATGGTAGTTCTACTTTTCATTTTATGAAATAGGAAATGATGTTTTGATACATGGCTACATTGTTGAATTATCAAATCAGGATTTCCATCACCTTAAACATCTTTCATTAATTTGGAGCGGGAACATTCAAAATCCTCTTCTCTTTTGAAATATACAACACATTATTGATAACTAGTCACACTACTGTGCATAGGACACAAGAACTTGTTCCTCCAATCTAACCCTAGCATTGTGCCCATTGACCCCCCCTTCTCCATCTCCCTCTCCCCTGTCCTCTGCAGCCTCTGGTAACCACTGTTCTATCCTGTTTTAATGAGATAACATTTTTATGTTTTACACAAGAGTGAGATGATGTGGCATTTGTCTTGCTGTGCCTTGCTTATTTCACTTAACACAGTGTCCTCCAGGTTCCTGCATGTTGTCACAAATAACAAAATCACATTTTGTGTGTGTGTGTGTGTGTATGTGTGTGTGTGTGTGTGTGTGTGTGTGTGTGATTGTTAAGAAATGTCCCCTGAAAAGATCATGTTTTTAAAGCATGGTCTCCAATGCAGGAAGGTTCAGGTGGGGCCTTCAGGCAATGATCAGAGCTCTAACCTCATCAGTGGATTAATCCACTTAATGGATAAACAATTTAATAGACTACTGAATTTACCATGTACCACTGTGGACTGGACAGAAGTGGAGGAAGTAGGTCACTGAGGGCATGCTCTTGGATACTAAACCTTGTCTCTGGTTCCTTGAGCACGCATACGCATTCATATTCCCCCTCCCCCCTCTTTCTCCCTCTCTCCCTCCCTCTGTCTCTCCCTCTCTCCCCTCTCTGTCTGCCATGAGCTGAATTGTCTTCCTCCTCCGTGCCCTTCTACCATGAAGTTCTGCTTCACCTCAGTCCAGAGTAATGGAGTTGACCAACCATGGACCGAGAGCTCTGATCCATGCATCAAAACACATTGTGTATCTCATATCTACCATGAGCCCCAAATAAACGTTTTCTCCTCCAAGTTGTTCTCATCAGGTCTTTTGGTCACCGTGATGAAAAGCTGACTGACACAGTGTTTCTACTGTGTATCACATTTTTCTTCCTACATCTGTGTCCATCTGTTGGTGGACACTTCAGTTGATGATATATTTTGGCCATTGTGAATAGTGCTGCGGTAAAGATGGAAGTGCAGGTGTCTCTTCAACATACTGATTTCATTTCCTTTGGATGTATACACAGTATTGTGGTTGCTGGATCCTATGGTGGATCTACTTTTAATTTTTGGAGAAATCTCCATACTGTTTTCCACAGTGATTATACTAATTTACATTCCCACCAAATAGTGTGAATCTATAGATTGTTTTGGACAATATGGATATTATTACTGTAATATTAATTCTTCCAATTCATGAATATAGGATGTCTTTCCATTATTTGTGTTCTCTTTAAATTTTTTCATAAGTATTTTATATTTGGGGCATAGAGTTCCTTTACTTCCTAGTTAAATTTATTCCTAAGTATTTTATTTGTTTTTGCAGCTATTGTAAATGGGTTGTTTTCTTAATTTCTGTTTCAGTTAATTTGCAATTGGCAAGAATAAATGATACTGTTTCTTGTATGTTGACTTTGCATCCTATAATTTTACAGAATTGATTTATTAGTTTTAACAGGTTTTTGGTGGAGTCATTAGGGCTTCTTATGCCTGTCATTTAGTGCCTTTGTGTTCAATTTGGATATCTTTTATTTTTTTCTCTCACCCAATTGCCCTGGTGAGGCCTTCCATGACTGTGTTGAACAGAAGAGATGAAAGCAGACATTCCAAGTTCTTGACTTTTCCCTGTTCAGTGTGATGCCGGCTGTGAATTACTTATACGTCTCTTTGTGGTGTTAAGCTACATTCATTCTATGCTTAAGTTGTTGAAAGTTCTTATCATGAAGGACTTTTGGATTTAATCAAATGTGGGGTTTTTTTGCATATGGAGATGATCATATGATTTTATCCTTCCATCTGTTAAGGTGAGGTACCATGTTTATTGATTTGCCTATGTCAAACCATCCTTGCATCTTTGAAGTGAATCACAATTGATCACATAATGATCTTTTAAATGTGCTGTTGGCTAATATTTTGTTGAATTTTTTTCTATCTATATCCATCAAGGATTCTGGTTTGTAGTTTTCTTATTCTGTTGTGTCCTTGTCTGGTTTTGGTATCTGGGTTATTCTGACCTTGTTGAATGAGTTTGGAAGAATTTCTCCTCTTTAATTTTCTGGAATAGTCCAAGAAGTTTTTATATCAGTTCTTTAAGCTTTTAGTAGGTTTCAGCAGTGAAGCCCTTGGGTCCTGGGCTTTTTTTTTTTTTTTTTTTTGATGGATACTTTTGATTACTGATTCAATTTCTCAATGTTATTGGTCTGTTCAGACTTGCTATTTCTTCATAGTTCAATCTTGATGTATTGAGTCTAAGAATTTATTTATTTCTACTTATCCAATTTGTTGGCATATAATTATTCATTATAGCCTCTGTGGTATCAGTTGTATCATTTTTCGTTTCTGATTTTATTTGAGTCTTTTCTCTCTTAGTCTTGACTAAAGATTTGTCAATTTTGTTTATCTCCCCCCCCAAAAAAAACCCAACCTTTTGTTTTATTGACTGTGTGTATTTCTTTAGACTCTAGTTCATTTACTTCGKCTCTGTTATTATTTCCTTCCTTCTTAAGTTAAATTTTCACGTTTGTAAAGTCTGAGCATCTTCCTATTATTGATTTCTAGAATTTGGGATGTCTTCTTGCATTCCTTCACTTTCCTTTGGAAGTGTCCTTACAGGTGAAGGGAGTTTCTTATTACATAGAATGTAGTTGGCATTTGTTTTCTTATCTATTTGGCGACCAAATGGCTGTTATCTGGAAAATTTAATCCATTTACATTCAATGTAATCATGAATAGATAAAGACTTATTATCGCACTTTTTTTTTTTGCTATTTGTTTTCTAGTGGATTTGTGTATCCCTTTTTCCTTTCTCTCTTATGTCTTTGTTGTTAAATGATTTTTCTCTAGTATTATGCCTTGATTCTTGCTTTTTATTTTAAAGTGTGT